ACTGGTGTCTCGAGCTTTCGACAAATGAACATTTTCCCAGCTAAGAATGTTTAGAAGCCTTAAGAGTCTCTGAATTCAATGGCAATTCATTTATGTAGTGATGGTTCCAAAACATTTTCACTTAAAAAGACACAATAAAGAGGTGTCAGAACAAGCAGGAGGCTGCAATTTTTTTTTCTCTGCAGCAAAGATAATTGTTGTTGTTTTTTGCCATGCAAGACAAGTTGCTGGCAAGAGGTCTGTGTTTTATCGCAGCCAAGGCTAATCCTCATTGCTTTATACTGATTGTCCATTTGCCTCAAAAGCCTTTGGGGGTAGGAATGGAGGAGGGGGGAATCACAGAATCTTAGAATTGGAAGGGACCCCAAGGGTCATCTAGTCCAATCCCCTGCAATGCAGGAATCTCAGTTAAAGCATCCACGACAGATGGCCATCCAACCTCTGCTTAAAAATCTCTAAGGAAGGAGAGTCTACCACCTCGCTAGGGAGCCTGTTCCACTGCTGAACAGCTCTTACAGTCAGAAAGTTTTTACAAATGTTTAGCCGAAATCAAAACTGTGGCGACCAGTTAAAACTCTGCAGGTATGTCAAAGCTGCTCTTGTGCTTTTGAACAAACAAACGTTTTAATCAAGGAATGAAAGGAATTCGTATTGCAAATGGAAACCTTGATTTCCGACTCTTTTATGAATTCCCAAGCAGAGAAATGGCCCACAAACATAGCTATTACCCTTGTGCAACAGTGGCTTGTCATCTTTCCTAACTAGCTTAAGAGAAAAGGACTCCAGCTCATTGCCATAGCAAGGAAGTGTAGGTGCAATGTACTGAGTGCTCAATCATCACATGTGAGTAATCACACGCCTCCTTTTAAGATACAGTAGCTTTCTGCAGGCTCAGAGGTGGAAAGCTGCCCACTTTCTTCAATATTTTACAAATGATACACAGGGGACAGCAAACTGGCCCCACACACGAGACCAGCTTTGCTCAGCAGCTGTAATCAACATGAGAGGAGAGGGAGCGGCAAACTTGAAAGCTCCTTCCCAACACTGTGAGCCCCCTCTGCAGTAACCAAAAGTTGAGCACAACCATCCAGAGAGATGAAACCTGTGCCTGTCAGCTGTCATGCAATCCAGAACCCAGTCACACAGGTTTCCAGGTCACACGAGCCTTGCCTTTGTATGGCTCTGCTTCCACAAACCTTGCTTCCTTTTATCGTTCAGAATCTTGCCATGGAAATCAATAAAGCTTTGCGCAACACGCCAAACCAAAAGAAAAACCTGAAGCGCACGAGCCAAGCAGTGTAGGATCAGCGCTCAGATTAGGACAGCTAAGTGATGTTGAAAAGGGAAGCTTGCTGTTTCTACGAAAGTCACAGAACCATCCTTTCATGTCCCCAGTTAATAATTTAATACCGGTAAGCATCCCTAGAGCAATCTGCAAGTTGTTTTTTTACGAAGCGAAATCTCTACATGGGACAAAGAGCTTGATCTGGAATCCAGGTAAGTCCCTGCCATGCTCGGTGCTTTAATAACTCACTCCAGTTACATGAGAAGCAGCAGCCTTAGCATCTAAGGGCTTGTTGTTTTCTTCTCCTTTTGTTGTGTCTCTCAACATCCAGAAGATGAACAGAATCAAAGCTGTGGGAGAGGAGCTCATTGCGATGGGCCACCCTGCTGATCTACTAAAATAATAAGTTATCAAGTGTTTTATCTCTGTGGCAGCACCATCGGGTTTTATTATTGTATCTTGTTTTACCAGCAAGCATAATTGCATATGACAGTGGCTCTCCACAGACCACAATAACAGACTTTTTTTTGGGGGGGGGGGGGTATTCAGCTTCACCACCTTTCCAGATCTTCAGAATAAGATCACTTGAGGAGCATTTCCTCCCAAACCAGATTGCAGCATTTATAAGTCTAGGGACATCTCTGGTTGATGGTGTTGTGTATAAATTTTAATAATATGTTTCATTCCCTCCCCAAGAAGGCAAATATAATTGCATCTTTCCCTCAGATCTAAAATTGTAAGATTTTTTTCAGGGAAGGATCCACAGCCTTTGAATTTGGTTGAGAGGAAATTGGAACATTTGAGGATGTCGCTATAAAAAAATATAACAAAACACATTATGTGTGAACATTGGTCTGATGTGGTATATTGGTTAAGAGCATGAGTTTTGAGTTGGTAGTCCTCAGTTTAACTCTCAGTAAAGGCTTGAATACCCTGTAGGCATCAGACAAGCCATAATATATCCCAGACATGCACATGTTATGTGTGTTTAGAGCACCACACATGGAAAAAGAATTGACAATCAAATCTTATTTTCCACTGTAAGATTTTTAGTCTAAACCACAGGCACTGAGCAACATCTAAACAGCCCTTGCTTAGCACTGTCTGAAAAGGATGCTGCCTCTTGAAACCCAAAAGACCCAATAGAGGCTTGACCATCCGCTATGCTGAGGTATGGGACATTATTATATAAGAACCAATTATTTGAAATGAAAACTCTGCCACAGTGGGAAGTTATGCTAGTGTTCAGAAATTACTAAACACTTGACCTTTCCCATTTGCTCATTCTACTTTATATCACATATCTTAAAGCTTTATTATAGTCATCCGACACTGCTGAAATGTGAAAAAAGCTTCATAGTAAACAGAGAAAATGATATTTGCACAGTGCAGATGCTTATGGGATTCAACCACAAGAATTCCATGAAATATAGACACATGTACACTTGGATTGAAGGATCGAGAGCCTCAGCTGCTTTTTCCACATCATTTATACACAAATACATAAAGGTATAGAAAAAGATACAAAGACCAGAAGAATGCAGACTGCCCTTTGCCTGGAATGATTCTGTTCAGGAGGCAGACACTTTGCTTTCTCATTTATTTAAACTCTGTTTACATTCTTTTAATTCACAAATCTGATTTAACATTGTCATGTTAGGGTGACGTGAGCTTCACCGAAACCTCTGAGCTATAGTGCATAGCATGGATTAATGTACTTCCTTTGCATATTTTAGATATAAGGGCAAGAAAAATATAAATCTGAGTTTCCATGTCTGAAAAGGTCATAGGTGCTCACCCTTTATTTATTACAAACATGTACATTTTGTCTTCCCACATTTGCTCAAGGTGATTCAATCACAGCCTTGTAAAAGTAAAAAGCCCTCCCTCCTGCTACCCAAAACCCTTTGTAGAGGGATATACCATATAGCAGGGAAGAGGAAATAGTCGCTGGACTACAATTCCCATCATCCTTGACCATCACCCATGAGTCCAGCAACAGCTGGAGGGCCACCAGTGCCCCACCCTTGGTTAAACTTGCTTCCTTCCCCCAGCAACTGATCTGTTCCAGACACAGGGAGAACCTTGGCCCAAGCAGGGTCAACACACTCCTCTTGAGCAGAGAAGCACTACTTTTATATGTTGGTGTCTATTCCCTTCAAATAGACACCAAATGCACAACCATCAGGAGGCATGGGTAGAGACAGCTGTTATCAATGACAGGACCAGCCAGCACAACCCCATTTCATGTGTTTTCTCAAAACAACAAACCACAGTTTATCACTTATTCTGAACAATAGCACTCTCCATCACTGAGTTTGAACCTGCCCTCTATATTTAACAGGTACAGTGTGAATTGGCCCTAGCAAACAAGAACAACCTGATCGAGAATTCTGTGCACACTTCTTGCATATTACTTAAAAGCCAGTTACGGATCACTTACCCTAGCTTCAGTTCCATAGTTCCCCACACCAGATGATGGGATGTCCTAAAAGCTATATACCTAGGTGGAAAAAAGGGGGGAATACATGTTTTAAAGCAGCCATTAACAACAACTGCTAAACAAACATATAATGCTCTCACATAAACAAATCAAGATCAATTAAATCTTTTGCTAGTGTTAATCTTTGAGTCTATATTTATCTGACTGAGGAAAGGCATGGGAGAATGCTTCTTCCTTGATTAGTCAAGACTGAGAAAAGCCAGACGGATTTTGCAAATGAGAAAGGAAAGGTGGATGGCTGCCTGGCTGCCTCTATGGAATAGGATAGCCGAGAGCAGGTGGAAGGCTGCTGATACCCCTCCCAGAAGAGGGAGGGGGCTAATCAGATAATCAATTTTCAATCTTCTGCCTTTCTTTAGAGAGACCGTTGTTGGCACCTGTTTACATTGACTGGGTGGAAACAGAGAATCCCTGGGAGAAAAAAACACCACCATCTGTATGCATCTTCAAATTTATTTATGTATTTATTTTAAATGTTGAGATGATTCCTAGAGTTTTCATTAGCACCTGCTGCTTCCATATGAGAAGGTCTTCTCTGATGGTGCAGTGGAGCTGGAGGGAATTTTGGTATAGGAAAGATATATTTGATGCTTTGTATCTGTTTTTGCAGTTCTTAGCTATTTGCTTAAGTACATTGTTTGGAAATATTTAGTTAATTATGTGGCCGATCTGTGATCATAATAACAATAAAGAAAAGAAAGTTAATTATGTTGCTCAAAATGTGGAACGATGGTGATTAGTAATAGTACTGTTTGGTTTAAATGTGGATATTAAAAATTGCATTTCTTACATTGCTTCCTTTTTGTTGACATATGTAAAAAGCTTAAGAGATTTCTGCGGGAATCCAAAGTGGTATAAAATAGAACCACAAAATCACAAAACTGTAGTGTTGGAAGAGTTCCAAAGGGTCATCAACAGAGGAAGGGACCCCTACAGGATGTGGCAGACTCTCCTTCCTTGGATGTTTTAAAGCAGATATTGGACAGCCATCTATCATGGATACTTTAGTTGTGATTCCTACATTGCAGGGGTTTGGACTAAATGACCTTGGGTTCCCTCCCAACTCCACAATTCTTTGATTCTATGAGTGTGTCTATTTTGCCACTATGATGTGTGTTTTAATCACTCTGGGTAAGAAAAGCATATGGATAGAGAAAAAGGACTAAAAGGAAAAATTGGATATTCTTTTTCTGGAGATCATTTTATTTTTTTCTACTCTACGACCTCAAAGAAGAGATGTCTAGAGAACAGGGCACAGGGCAATTCAGAATGGGAGAGCCTGTGGAAACCACTTTGTTCAATTACAAAAACAGAATGATGTCTTTAAATGAGGCCCAATTTTGAATTGGATACATGAAAGACTTAGGTCACTGTTGACCTAACAGGTAGCTTAGCTTATTGTATTTTTTTAAAAAAATCTTTGAAAAGGGCATCAACATTCTGCATATAATTCTGCAGGGATAGACAAGAGATAACAGGAAAGAACAAAGTTACAATATGCACTTCATTTCAAAAGAGAGATGATTTAGTTTGTAGCACACATCACGCAGAAAGCTACTTCTGCCAAAAGCTTGGACATCTGCAGCTTACAAATAGCTGCTTTTCAGATATGTAAAGATTAAACTGTCATTATTCTGCTCAAGAAATCGCTGTCTGCAGCCCTTTTTGGATTATTTAGGTAAGCAGCATGATGGCCTCTATGGAAAGGGAAAGAAAATGATAGTGTCCTGTTTTATATTCTTGGAAACGATAACAGCTCTTCTCCTACAGATAATTTAGATGCACTGTCACACAACACACACACTCAGTTGGTGCAGCTAAGAAGTAAGATGTGAAGCCCTTAGCTCAATAGGCAAGCCAAGGACAACAACTTGCCTAGGCCTTTCTGAGGCGTAGGTAAGAAACATGGGAAGGAAGGGAAGCACAGCACATTGCTCTCCATATTCTATTGGCCTACAGGTTACCATGATCTCTGAACACTGGTGATGTTGGCTAGGGTTGATGGGAGCTGCACTTCAACACTGGAGGCTCACAGGCTTCCCAACCCTGTAGTAAGTGGATATTACTGGCCTGTGTGGCAAGGCTATTGTGAAGATTGTAAGAAAGCATCAACCGTAGGATGCTACTATGAGGATGTGTGCAATGTACACTTCCAGCACAGGCTATGTTCACTTGAGATGCTGCAAGGTCATTTCCTCTCTGCTGGATTTCCAGGTCTCTTTCTGTGTTCTCAACAGAGCGAGAGTGGAGAGGTCTTTTGCCTGATTATTTCTTCCCCTGTGCCAAACTCCAAGCTGATGACACTTTCACCACCATCTGCACATGTGCAAAAGCTGCCCGAATTGTTCACACCACAATGAAATGACAGTTTGCATTTTTGAATCACATTGAATCTGATTTGAGGGAAAGTTCATGAACGAGGAAAGGAGTACAGTATTTCTCTAAAAGCAGCAGGATACAGATGAGTTGTGCCTCATGTCATATGAACCCGGCTCAAGAAACCACCCGTGGGAGCAGGCTGGAGCTGCAGTAAATGGTAATATGAACACACCCGCATTAATCTGCATGGCAATGAAAAAGCTGTCTGTTCCGTTTACATAATTTGGGCCACTATCTGATAATAGAAAGCGGAAGGCAAAATGCTGGCATTTTCATTCTAAAATGATGAAATGTAATGCAGTAATCATGAGGGGTGGGGGAAATCTCCCAGGAATGTACTGCCTTCGTATAAAAGGGCAACATGCTTTTCCCCCTTCCCACAGGAACTGAATAGAAGATTCCAGTTGACTTTTTGAACAAAGAACAACCATCAAATTAAGAACAACCATCTCTATTAAACTGTAAATAGGAAGAAGTAATTGATAGGGCATTTAGTTCACTGATCCTACACACTGATATAATAGTAATTAGAAAACCCAGCAACTTCAGCAGTAGAAAAGAACAAGGAAACCCAACCAAGAAGTTCAAAGGAAGGATTTTAGAGGCTTTGAAGAAAATACATAGGTTTGATGGACTTGAGAGGATACATTCCAAAGAGCTGTGAAGTGAAACAGTGTGTGAAACCCCCTAATGTTGTAATTTGCACTTGCAGTTTGAACAGAGCTTAGTTTGATCAGAGGCTCAACTGGGCTTAGCTCTACAACCATCTCTCAGTATCAGGATGCAAGCCTGGCACCTTGAAACTATAAGAGAGTGACTCTGACCATGTGCAAAGTGCCCTGCTCTCTCCAGGAAATAACTCCAAGCAATCTCCATTGATTTAGAATTAGGGATAAGGCTTTCCAGGAAAACCACAGGTTCTTTGGGGAAGCTTTTTCTCAACATTTATTTATTGCAACTATATCCCGCTTTAACTTTGGGAAGTGCAGTACTGAAGTTGCTAGTTTTTTCCCCACTGGTCACTATGAGACGGTGTTTTCAATATCAGCAGGTGATAATGTTTCCATGCTGTGAAATCTTTACCTACTGATATATGCTCACAGAGTTTCTTAAGAGCACAAGGCAAAGTCACGCCATATTGCTTTCTGGTCAGTTGGCAACCCCCCACACAGGCATCAACCAGGCAGAAACCTGCTTAGCTCTTGCTGTGAAGCAGCTGCCAAATGGCTTCAAACCATTTGTGTGCGCGCGCCTATACCAGGGAATTCTCAAAACTAAATGGCGCATGTTGTGATATCTAAGCAGAAATTAGCCGGAATTAAGAAACCATCTTATGTCACTCAAAGGCTTCCGGTCAGGAATTAGATAGCTCATTTAGGTAAATATGATGAATCCACTTGACAACTAATGCTGCAATCCTATACCCGCTTATCTGGAAGTAAGTCCCCATTGAACTCATTAAGCATTATTTATGAATAGAAATGTATAGGACTGTGCTGTAAGCAACCATTTATGACTTACGTGATTATCTAATTCCTTTCAGTTCGGAGGGAAGGAGTCACATGGCACATTACAGCTCCTTCCTTCACTTTCTTCATTGGGATGGAACAGCCAGGGACAAAGAGCAAAAGTTTGTTTGGGCTATAGTGCCTCTCTGGATTTGTGCCAGATTTTGATTTTAAAAGGGAGGATTTTGGCTCGCTCTCCTAGCCTCAACATTTCCAAAGGATGCCACTTTTTCTGACATCTGCACTATTTCCTGACAGCTGTAGTGTGCCTTTAACAGCTGCAGGATAGAAATTCAGTAGGTTCATCTTCTCCTATCCTGGCATCATGATGCCGAACACAAGCTGCACCTGTTGAATTTCTGCCCATGGCCCATCTTTGTGATATTGCAAGCAGAAAGCCTCTGTCAGGGAACAGCAACAACCTAAAAACTCCCAGTCTCTTCCCTCAGTAACTGCCTCTAGGTATGACAACAGGATTTTCTGTTGGCCCAGTACACTATATGTGGATGTACATATATCAACTAAGCCTAGACTACCTCACAGGGCTGTTACAAAGATAAATAGTGGGTGATGTACACAACCTTGAGTTCCTGGGTATAAATGCTAGATATAAATATATATCACAGATTATTCAAGGGGGAAAAAACATATACCTTGCTTTAAAGGCAACATTTCATAGTCCTGCTGTTTACAGAACCCACCAATAGGTTTGCCAACACTGATAAAGAAGAATAAGCAAGTATTTCACAAATTTGGTGTCTGAACGATGAACGACTAAACTACGTAGCCTAGCCTACCAGATGGGGCTGCTGCAAAGATGAAATGGGGGACAATGTACTCAGACTTGAACTCCTGGGAGGTAAAGCAAGTTAAAAATAAATAACAAGAAGTAACAAAATATTTACACACGTGCAGTTTCACAACTCTGAGCAAAACTCACTTAAACACATGCAGTGGTACCTCGGGTTACATACGCTTCAGGTTACATACGCTTCAGGTTACAGACTCCGCTAACCCAGAAATAATACCTCGGGTTAAGAACTTTGCTTCAGGATGAGAACAGAAATCGTGGAGCAGCGGCAGGAGGCCCCATTAGCTAAAGTGGTGCTTCAGGTTAAGAACAGACCTCCAGAACGAATTAAGTTCTTAACGCGAGGTACCACTATACAAAGATATCCTTGCCAAATTTGACAACCAAAAAAGTATCCTTGTGCTAAAGTCTATAGGAATTTTAATTTGCTCCACAGCTGCATGATGATGCTATGGTTGTATCTGCTAGTTAATGTTGTATTTTATATGTTTGTTTTGTAGCTATTGTATAGTAAATAAATAACAGCCCAGTGAAGACAAGCATAATACTAAGTACTATTAATAAGCAATTAAAACAATAAAAGCACAAATTCAGTTCAGGAGAATGCTTGCCTAAACAGGCGTGCCTTCAGGAGCTGGTAGAATGCCAACATTGATGGCAGCTCTCATATTTCAGCAGGGAGGGCATTCCACAATACTGATGCTACAATTGAAAAAGCCCACCTCCATGTTACCACAAGCTGATAGCCATCAGGCCATGGTAAAACTAATTACTTTATTGCAGTGCCCTTAACAGGCAGTGGAGATTAAGATATCTTTTCAGGTAACCTGGTCCAGAGTTATTCAGGGCTTTGCATGTATCTTGCAGAGGCTTAAAAGGAGTGGCTGTGTGGGAGATATGAAAAACGGTGACAAGGGGGAGGGACGGCACTACATTATCACAATTTTTTTGCCAGTAGGAAGCAAGCCTCATTTATTTCCAAGACTCCCTTCTGAGTAAAACAGACCAAAGTCCTGTTGTGGAAGTGGAAATCCTTGTGTTGACTGCACATGTAGTAGAATACCCCCTACATTTAAAGCACATTCACCCCACCTCCCCCCAGAATCCTAAGACCTGTAGTTTGCTACGGGTGCTGGGAATCATAGCTCTGAGAGGGGTAAATTGCTACAGTCCCCAATATTTTTGGAGTGAAGCCATGTGCTTTATGTTTCTAAAATGTATGTTGTGTACACAACCAACATTTCGGAGGTGCTGTTTGAGAGACTCAGCTAAATTACAGGAGAACTGGAGCATGGTAACATTGGGCTATTTAATTTACCAATTTAAAATATACCTCAGAGTGGTTCCTTTTTAGTGTTGCCCTTAATATCCACCCTCCCTTCCCCACAGGTGGGCGGGGTTTGCGGCACCGAGCGAGGCTCACCTGGGCGGGTGCCACCCCCCTGCTTGAGCTGACCTTTGACCCGCCCTCGGCCAGGGAGGACAATGGGCCTTAGGTGGGCCTAAGGCCAAAAGAAAAGAGACTGACTCCTGGTCTCAAGCCTCTTTTGCCGTTCTTCCTTACCAATTTAAAATATGCCTCAGAGTGATTCCTTTTTAGTGTTGCCCTTAAAAAAATGTTGCTGCTCTTTCTTGTGCATTTAACAGCAAACAGTCTGACACATAGAAATTAAGCAAATGAAGTGGAGCTTTTCTTCTCACCAGTTTATCTCTGGGTCAAGAAAACTTCACTTATTTAAATTATGGGTGCTAGCTGCTGCTTAAAGGCATAAAGAGAAGGCCAGTAAAAATAAAAAAGGGGGGGAGCTTGTTAGCCTTTCCTTTACCAAAGCAGACACCTACTCATTAGACCAAGGAGTTGGTGCTCCCTGAATCCAGAGTTTGGGCAGCTACAATTATACGTCACTTTAAAGTGTGAAATGGGGAATTGGCATCAGACCAGCCTCTGCCTGACAGGGTAGATTGATTCTTTTTGTCCACCATCTTCGGTTACACCCCCAAAAGGCTAATTTGAGCATTCCTGTTGGGTGTGTGTGAGAGAAAGAGAATTAACTCTAAGCCCAGGGGGACAGATGTTAAAGGAATACGACCATTCAAAGGCAGGAGATTGAGAGGCATCCCTAAGATGCCACTGTGTGTTTGTATGTGCAGCGAGTGTGGTTCAATGTAGTCACATGGGTTTTGTTCAGCGCTTGTCTTTCTACCGAGCTCAATGGGAGCTAGATCAGGCCTGAAGAGAACTAAATACTTGACAGCTGTCAGGGCTGGTTATGGTCTACTGTGAAACCCCCAATGGCAGCCTTCCTTCCCAGAAACCGGTTCTCTGTATTGCAAAGAGGCAACCAACTGAACCTGTGAGATGCTGAGTCACATTGGCTTCACATCTCATTGAAGTTAGGGGGACCTCAACTCTTGATGGGGAATTATTACCGGTCCCCAAACTAGTATGGTGTGAGAGATGCAGCAAAATCAAAGCAAATTGTTATCCTCAAATAATTCTGGGCACTGTAGTTTGTTAAGGGTTGCTGGGAATCATCACTCTGCGAGGGGCAAACTACAGTGTCCCGAATTATTTGAGGGAAATAATAGGATTTAAAGGGACAGTGTCATACACATCTGCACATTCCCTGGAATGAATGAGCAATGATTGGTTGAGAGTAGAACTGGGCTGTATCAGAGAGAAAAAGAACAAGAGTATTTGTAAAGTCCAGGGACTACTTTGTTCACTGATCAAAGCTTGAAGGTTGTTCTTGGCTTGTTGTGGCCCTAGGCAGCAATCGCAGCTACTAGAATCAGCCATATGTTGCCATGTTGCAGCTCTGCCGCTGCCTCTAGCTGTCTCTCTCAAGCAGTATTTTGGGCATTATACAAGTTCAGAATCTCCACGTAGCCGGTTGTGTTGATTTGCACCACTGCACCCAAAATTCAGCTGAGCAGTCTATAATGCAAGATAAATTGTTTCAGTTTTGGTTTGTGGTGCAAATAAATTTCCTGTAGTTGCTGAGCCATTCTGAAGAAAAGTGGAAAAGTATTCTCTTAAATACAAAATATGCAATTCTTTCCACCTTTGAATTGATGGTAATTTAGCCATTTTATCCCTCAAAACCTATTGCAGATTTATCAGGAATTCTCTTGTTTGCTTTTTTTTAATTTGGAGAGAGAGAACAAGGCTATTATACACAGTTTAGACACTATGTCTTTATGCAATGACTGCTCCACATTTCCAGATCACAACAATAGTCCTTTACCTGTCCTAAATGCACATACAAATCCATTGTCCTTTTTAGCTGTGGCTTGGGGTGGAGGACTACGACTCTTGTGCAATGGTGTAAATCCACAAGTTGGATTCGCCTAAGTTGCTGGCCAAACTCCAGCACTGAGTTAAATATGCTTGTCCATTGTAATAAATGGGATTGAGTTGCCAACTCTTTGTTGATGTGTTGCCAATATGTACTGTTTTCACATTAGTGGCACACAGATGTGGATTGGCTAAGGTCAGACCTTGACTGCTGGATCGAGCCTCTTAGGAAAGTTCAGGTAGAATCAGGTCTAGATGTATTCAATAAGATTTTTACCTTAAAATTTTGATATACTGCTGTTTATCTGAGTAATAATAGAATGGTTCAGAAAACACAAATAAAATACAGTAAGATGCAACAGACATTAAAATGTTAAGCCTCTGCAAAACCCCACCCACTGCAGCCAGCATGATAGCTTACTTCAAGCTGCGAAGTAGGAGCCAGCTTGAGTAAACAGGTATGTCTTAAGCAGGCTTTGAAAGCCCATCTCAGTCGATGCCTGCTTTATTTCAGAGGGAAGCAGCTTTCAGAGAGCAGGTGCTACCACAGAAAAGGCACTGCCTTGGATTGCTGTATGATGGGGCTCAGCTAACAGCAGCATGCTTATGGTCACTTTCAGGTTGTGCAACTAAAGTTGGTTTGGTCTCTTGCACAATGAGCTGACTGAAATTAATATACAACAACTAATTTGGGTCTATTAATTTCAGTGGGTCTCATTTGAGTATGAACAACACTGGATACAACTCTCCGATGTCAAAACCTGTTATTGTCATCCTGCTAGGATTCCATTGTCATATAAACAACAACAAAGAACCCTAGTATGAATTCAGTTGAGACAAACTGTGAAACAGCTGTTGTATAAGACCATACACTTTTTACCTTTAAGAGTTTGATCAATGTCTGCAAACGAGGGCAGAAGGCTGAGTGGCATTTTTACACTCTCCTCAGCAAAAGTCTTTATTTTTTTGGGGGGGGGGGAACCTGAGGTAAAAGCTTCACAGCTTGTTAGTTCTAACAAGCAAATCTTATTTATTTGTCACAGCAGATGGGGAAGCAAATTGTAACGTGTTAAGAGACGTTAAACACTGTTTGTGTCCAATCCCAACCCTCTCCCCAAAGATGTGGCAACACCTTCCTTCCACAGCTCTAAATAGTTGGCCATCTCTTAAGAATTAAGCTCCATTACACAATCAAGAGTCTCCAAGAATCCACCCACAACAGGATACGCGGCAGCAACATCGCCAGCTAATAAAGTTACAAGCTTTGCATCATGAGACTGACTCGCAATAACTAATAACTCAGTTATTATGTGCATACCACTGTTACCTTGATAATTATGAACACCACTGATTAACTCTGAGAATGTTTCATCTGCCTCACCTACAGGAAGGAAGCCACCAATCTAGGGCACTATTTATGTTGCTATAACAAAAGTTGCCATTCCAGGTAGAAAGTGGCCTAATGAAAGGGAGACGGAGGGAGGTTTGGCAACCAGAGCTGACAAACAGGAACAGCCAAGGCTTACAGGGAACAGGGAGGAGTGACGTTCCGTTTTGCAAAATAGGGTTTGGAGAAACCTTACGTTTCAAATGCACCCCACTCCCAGCATTTTGTGCAAATCCCCCATATGGATTCATGTACTGCTGCAACTCAATTAGAATTAATTGACAGTAAGTGAGATAGCGTGCCATTCTCTATTTCCTAGCAGATAGGCGCAATGTAGCTTGTGTCAGGTTGCTTTTGGGTTAGGGTAGCTGGCCAGAGAAAGTGCCATTAACAAAAAAGCCAAGCCTTTTCCCCAAGTACAACCACATTGAGGAGGGCTGCATACTGCTAGAGTCACAGAGAGGGATAGTGTGTCAGGCAGCATATGCTCTGCAGAAGCAAAGAACTGTAGGGAATGCTCAGCACAGCTGGTTCACGTGCACTCTCACAACCCTTTGATTCCTATGGAGCGATGCTGACAGATGACACAACTAGTAGCAGTGTGTGCTCACACTGCTTTAGTGGGCTTTCTTTGCACATGGTTTAAAGGCTGAGGATGCAATGTTTGGTGTAGTGCTGTACTATCAGTGCTTGATAGTGAACACAAAATGCTGCCATGTATGTATGTATGTATGTATGTAACAGTACTTGTTGTATGTCTCAGGTTCAATCCCTCAAATCTTCAGGTAGATCTGGGAACGTTCCCCATCTGAAATTTTCTAAGGCTG